TCAAAAAAAAAAAAAAAAAACTTTTTATGTTTTAAATTTTTTTGTTGAAAACTAAGAAACAAGCACACGCATTAGCCTAGGCCTACACAGCGTGAGGATCATCAATATCACTGTTTTCCACCTCCACGTCTTGTCCCACTAGAAGGTCTTCAGGAGCAGCAACACATGAAGCTGTGATCTCCTGTGATAACAATGCCTTCTTCTGGATACCTCCCGAAGGACCTACCTGAGGCTGTTTTACAGTTACCTTTTATTTTTAATAAGTAGAAGGAGTATACTCTAAAATAATGATAAAAGTACAGTTTAATAAATACATAAACCAGTAACACAGTTGTTCATTATCAAGTATTATGTACTATACATAACTGTATGTGCTAGACTTTTATACAACTGGCAGTGCAGGAGGTTTGTTTACATCAGTATCATCACCACATGTGAATAATGCATTGCAATAGGACATCACTATGGCAATGATGTCACTGGGCGATAGGAATTTTTCAGCTTATGACTGAAACGCCGTATGTGGTGCGTGACTATTTATATACAGTACCTCCCCTTCAGGAAGCAGAGCTTAACTTCCCCTCCCATTGAGTATGAGCTGGGCTTAGTGCCTCACTTCCCAAGACTAGAGTATGGAAAGGGAAAAACGATGACTTTACAGTGGGAAAAACTGGGAGACACCACCGTAACTGAGTGATCAGGGTTAACGCGTTAGGGCATGTTGATGTGAGAAGGGCACTTCCCCTCTGTGGCGTTCTTCCCCAAAACCTGAGTCTAATCGTGAGAAAACACCAGACAAACCCAGATCGAGGGCCATTCTACAAAACTCCTGAGCAGTACCCTTCAAAAGTTTCAAGGTCATGAAAAACAAGGAAAGACTAACAAACTGTCACAACCCAGAAGCGACCAAGGAGGCATCACAGCCAAGAGCAGTGTGGCATCCTGAATTGGATCCTGGAAGAGAAAAAAGACATAGGCAGAAAAGCTGGCGAAGTCCAAACGAAGTCGGAGTTTAGCCGACGGTATCGTACCAGTGATGATTTCTTAGTTTTGACTTAGATTTACCACGAGTATTTTAATGTTGGAGGAAGCTGGAGAAGGGCATATGGAAACTCTACTATCTTTGCAACTTTTGTGTAAATCTGAAACTGTTCCAAAATAAAAATGTTATTTAAAAAAAGGGAAAATGAGAAATTTGATCATGGAAACAGAGATTTAAGAATAGACATGTTTTAATTTTATCCTCCTGCTAAGCACACTAAGCAGGGACTCAGAAGGGGGCTATTTAAATTGTTAGGCTTTTCCCCTGCCTTGATTTTTTTTTTTATGACTATTTCCTTGCTTTGTCTGCTAACAACTTTTCTTACTTTGTTTCAGATGAGTGGCACAGCCTGGGCATCAGCACCATCAGAACTGTCTTCTTTAACACCAAGGGCCATGGAAACCACTCCAGAAAATAGCGAAGGTGGAGTCCTTAGATTTGTCATATGATGCTATTCTGTGACATCCTATGGAACTATTAGAAATTAAGATGTAGACCCTTCTATATTAGCAGGAGGAAATATCCATGATAGATTATAAAGTGGGGAAAAATTTTACTGAGCGTGGAATATTATCTCCTTTTTGTAAAAAAAAAAAGAAACACGTACTCACAGAAAACGTTCTAGAAGGCGCACACCAAGTTGTTGAGAATCAAATTACTGAGGAGGTTTAATTTCTGCTTGACACAGTGTTGAAGTTTCTGAACTTTTATAATGATTGTATTTTCCTTTTATAATCAGAAAAGTTTAAATTTAAAAACTATTATGTAAATAGTTGATACCTAATGATTTACACTTGGTGAATTTATTGTAAGATTACATTTATTGTAAATATACTTATATCAATTGCATATTAAAAGTCACTTATGTGATATGAATAGTCAGCTCTTCCTGTTTTAAAATCGTGCATCTTTTGTTAGCCAGCACGTTAGTATAAGTTAACAACAAAAATGTAACTTTGGACGACTAAGCAGTGAACTCATGGGATGTGGTACCGTAAGAAGTGCTGACTTATATAAACTGAGCCTGGAACAACTTTAAGGAACTTACTGTAACAGGAAAGACTAAACAGTCACCAAACTCCAGGTTGGATGTTAGTACTGAGAAAATTTCTGGCAAGGATTTTGCTAGGGGGTTGGAAAGTAAGTGGTGTTCATCAAGAAAAGAGTCCGAGGAGAGAGGATTGTTCAGCTCTTTCCCAGAGTGGAGTTGCTCCCTTTGTGTGGAATTGCAGGTGTAAGGGGAGGACTGTCTGAGATTTCCATCAAATGATAGATTGTAGAGTGCTGGGTTCTCATTTTACTGGTATGGGAGTAGACAAATCAGTGGATCAGGATAGGAACATTTCATATCCTGGAGAGTGATGGGTTATTTAATAAATGGAATTTGGACAAGTGTCAGGGCATTTTAGAAAAAAATAATAAAACAAAGGAGAATTCCTTCTTTACACCAGACTAAATTCAGGTGGATCAAAGATTTAAGTGAATATATCATGGTCCTAGGAGAAAACATGTATAAAACTTTTCTACTATCCTAGATTGGGAAAGCCCTTCTGTGCATATTCAGACCTTGGAGAAGATTAATAAATCCAACTGCATATAAATTTAACATTTCTGTTCTGAAAAAGTACTTTAAAGTGAAAACAAATGATAAACATTTGCAATTCATATATAGACAAAAGGCTTGTTTCCTTAATATGCAAAGAACTTTGATGCGGCTGTTTTGTGTATGATTTGGATCCTGTGGGTTTTTTTCACATTCATTTTTAGACATATGACCTTAGATGCCTTCAAGGAAGACATTTATACACCTCTAACTAGAGTTTAGCTTTTTGATTTCTTAGCTTATGCTACACTGCAGCCACACCGGCCCTTAGGTTCTTTCCTGTGTTTGCTTGGAATGTGACTCTTGGGCCCTGATTGGCGAGGAGCTGCCTCCTTATTGGAGTTTCAGCTTTAAATCCAGCCAGCAAGCTCTCCTAGTCACAACTACATTGTTTATTTTTTCTTTCTCAGCACAGTACACCCAGTTCTGGAAATTACCGTGTCCATTAGTTTGCATGTCCCTGTTGTTCCCACCACTGAGCTGTGATCTAAGGAGAGGTTCTATTTTAAGATGAGAAATATACCTGAGCCATCAATTGACTTAACGTTATCTATAAAGAGAGAAGAATGAATTCTAACATTCTCCTAAGTAACAAAGAGAAACAGTGGATTATGTATCATCTGAAAGTACAGGTGATAATTTGACTATTGTTACTATTACAATTTTTTTTTCCTTTTTAATAGAAAAGGTCTCACTCTGTTGCCCAGGCTGGAGTGCAGTGGTGCAGTCATAGCTCACTGTAACCTCAAGCTCTTGGGCTCAAGTGATCCTCCCGCCTCAGGCTCCTGAGTCGCTGGGACTACAGGTGCATGCCACCACACCCAGCTAATTTTTACATTTTTTGTAGATACAATCTCACTATGTTGCCCAGGCTGGTCTCAAACTACTGGCCTCAAACAGTCCTCCTCCCTTGGCCTCCCAAAGTGCTGGGATTACAGGTTTGAGCCACCGCTATTACTGTTACTATTACAATTTATTGGCATAAGAGGCCTTTGAGATTCAAGGTTACTTGCCACAGGAGATACGAGTATCCTCCTAATTCCAGATGTCTCAGTTTATTTTACTAACTGAAACCCAAGTAATTAAACACAGAATGAGATTTTATTCTTGTAATTTACATTCTTAACTGAAGAGTTTCTCCTAAAAGGATTGATTCTTTATAATTCCATTTCCTTTTGCACCTGTAACAGCACTTTGCTTTGTCCAGAATTTTTATTAAGCAGATGCTAATTAGGGAGACCTGTTGCCTGAGGCTTCACCTTGAATTTCCTATGTCAGCTGTGGGTGACAAAGTGCAGCCCTGAGTGAACTTAAAGATTACAAAGTGAAAAGGAGAAAATAAAAGAGCTTTAACAAATAGAAATACAGGCCGGGC